ACAGAGCACATGCTTTGGGATGAATTTTAAGTCTCTATCTAGACCAAGATAATAAATACTTGTAATACAAAGGGAATAAGCATTAACTTAAGAGTCACAACTTCATTCTTATTCTCAGGCCAGTCCCTTCTGCCGGAACACTAACAAGCTAGATCGAAGAACTTGTTAATCTGTTTTCGTTTGATGGGCATAAAAGATGTTTGAGTTTATGGTTTTGGTTGATAGGTATAAAGGCTTAATTGTTAAACTTTTAAAATTTAAGGATTTAATCGATACGAAAATTAGTCCACGAAGTTAGGTGTTAAACTTTTTAAAATTTATGGGCTGAATTCAGATGAACGAAGGCTTAATCATAGTGATCATTTGTGTAGTGTATTCAGTATGCAACACCAGCCTAATTCAGCCTCCAGAAAAAACACAGGTTTAGCCTTCGCCGGCCCAGGTATCTCTCTGCCCTCTCTGTCCAGTGTCCACCGTCTGCCATAGCGCCACCGCCACCACCACCAACCCATCAGCCAAATCCCCATCAATCAAACCCCAGGAACCCTACCATCAATAGCCCCATCGACCCACAACCGTTAGAAAAACCTAGCCAATCAAACCCTCAACCTCCACTTCGCGGAATGAATGTCAAGGTATGCCGTGGAGCCACCGCAACGACCCACCAAAGACCAAAACATCACCTATGAATCCACTGTCTAGGTCCCCCCTTCTCTCTTTCTCTCTCCTCTCTGTATTCATCACTCTTCACACAACACACAACACACAGCACACACAACGCACGCACTACACACAATCAGCACTCCTACTCTCCTTCATGACTGCAACATGTTTGCAATATTGCTTCAATGATATTTTTCGCTGAATTTATTTATTTATTTTGTAACTGAGTGTGCTTTGGATTTGCTTGATTAAGTTTGATTGGTCTGGGCTAGAATTTCTTTGATGAATTGTTTTATGTATTATGAAGGCGTTTTTGTTACAATAAACCTTGATGTCTGAGTTCTAACCGACTTTTCTTTGTATGTTAGTCTTTGTTGTTAGTGTGCGAATGGTGAAATTGATGCGAGGAGGATGTGAATGCATAGACAGTAATATGAAAACGGTTTTTTGGTATTAGAAAGTCTAACATGAAAACTGTTTTTTTCCCTTTCAGTAGGTAGGATGAAAACTATTTTTTGATATTAGAATGTTTGTTGGTTTAATGTATGCAGCTTTGTATGTGAAATGTGGTGATCATGCTAATGGCCACCAATTGTTCAAAGAAATGCCCAAAAGAAACGTAGTGTAGTGGACAGCCCTCATACCCCAACGAGTCTCCCCCTCTCTATCTCTCCCTACTTCAATTTCTCTGCTACGCCAGCAGCCCACAGCCACTACCGCACTGCCTTCTGCCCTTCATCCTCTACTTGAACCCCATACCGACGAAGAACAATGCTTTCTGGTATTTTTTCTTTGTGTTGTTAATTTTTCATATATTTGTGAACTTATTCTCATTTTTTCGGTTTCCTATTTGTGGTGGGTGAAATGGATTTTTGGTACTTTTGCGTTAGTCTATTTTGAACTTGATGCGCGTTTTCAAAATTTCGAACCTTGGTGTGTCGATGACGAAGCAAATGGCGCTTGATTGGTTGGAAGGTTATGTGAACATGTTAGTTTACCAATTTCGTCCATTTATGCACATAAGTAAAATATTTGCTTTTGCTAAATATAATTTGTATTTTACCAGCGCTATGTAAACTTTTATAAATCGAGCATTGCCTTTGGGGTTCAACCAGTTGTTATTACTAAGTGGATTACCAGTAACTACTTCCAATTAATTTTTTGTCACCATCTTTCGTATAGATCTTTGGAGAACAATCTCGAACCAGAACTAAGAGGTAAAACTTGCCTTAATTTGATTACGTGATCTAATTGTGGCTGCATATTTTTGGTGGAGAGTGGGGGGCAGATTCTGCCTTCAGATTAGCTAGAACTAAAAGTCTAATGATGGAGACATATTTTGGTTGAACTAAAAGTCTAATGATAACCTCAAATAAGGTGAATTTCTCCTTAATTTTCAACTTTTATTGATTTCATTGATGATTTGGAAGTATTTATTTATTTATATTGGGGTTGGACTTTTGTATGCGGGGTTTTGGTGCCATGGAAGTCACGTAAATGCAACGTTTTCATAGTTGTAGCACAAGAGTGACCACATACTTGCATTCTTTTCATTCTTTGATCAACTGAAAGTGGCCCATTTTTAAAATTTTGTCTCCAATTATTCTTTGAATTTCATTTGTTTTACCTATTGAAGTAAAGGAATTTAATTTATTTATTTTGGTTCATAATTCATTTCCAGTTAAGAATGGTAAAATTCCCACTCTTTGTGCTATTTTGAGTGGTCTATCTCTTCTCTATTTTTACATTTTGGCTCTTCTAATTTTTGTTGTATTTGGGGCTTCCATTTAACTATTAGAACTAGGAGGCTGTCTTTGGCATGGGACGGGGCTGCCAGAGGGGGTTGCGCAGGGGTGGAAGGGGCGGGTAGGAGTTGGGGTTGAAGGTATGCATGAGTGTGGCTCCTGCAACAAGTGATTAGTTATGCTTTGTCGTCACTACAATTACTTGGTTAAGCAGGGTTGTCAAGTACAAGCAATGAGCAGTATGCTTAGAGCAAAACTTTCGGATTGAAATTGGATGGTTTTGAGATTACAATCTGAATTCTTAAATCTTTGTCATGTTCAAGGTGATTAAAACTCATCCCTAAATTCATTGTGTTTGAAATTCACTGGGTTGTGCTTAATTGCGAGCTTTTCTTCTATTTCTTTTCCCCCATTTTTGTGTCTATGTTGAAGTACAATGCAGTTAATTTGGAGCTAAAGTTGTTGACGTTGGAGCTAAAGTTGTTGACGTTGGAGCTAAAGTTGATAATGAATCTTGAAATAAGGGATGCTTCTAATGTAAGAAAGAGTGCATTTCATAGTTCAATATTGCTACTCATCTAATCACAACGAATTATCCCTCTGCAAATTTACTTCAAATATAGGTGTAATTTCATCTGATAATGAATTTTAGAAGTTCAAAAATGTTGCTTGAGCTATTCGTTGCGAGAAAGTTCATTTTGAGGTAGTTGTCTCTTATATTTGATTTGAATTTGTTTTCTTATGTGGGTTTGATTTTTTTGATTATTATTGAGACTTGATTACTTATTAGGTTGAGGCTTTGTTCTAATCGCTACGTGGTATCACAATGTAGTTTTGAGGCCCTCAATATATTTTTCCTGACATGTTCCACATGCAGAAGTTATCCAACTTTGTTCATATACCAAGTATATATGTTTTTCTTAACTTCCCACATACTCCGTATCTCTCTAAATTTCATGACAAATTGTTCATAATATTGAAAAAATGCTTTTACATTATTCTGATAATATATAGGTTGTCATTAATACTTATTCAAACACTGGGTTAGTTTTTATTGACGATGAACTATGTGTGGGTGCATTGCGACTTTGGTTTTTCATGTGTAGAATAGAAAACATAACTTTAGATCTTATCGTTCTGATATGTTTTTACTACTAAATATGACATTTATCAAAGTTTACTCGATGGCAAATACACGGTCAATTGGATATTAGTAGAAGGAGTAAGCCAATTCATTTGCCGGATAAATTTTTCTTGTGGTCTTCATTTAGTCAATAATTTGAATAGATAATTTTCGTTTGCTGTTAGATTTTATTTGATAAATAGTTGTATTAAAGTAGTGCCGTGGCGTGATGACTTGAGTTGTGTTTCTTTAAATAAAACTTTATTAATTTGATTATGTAGATTGTGTACATAAGTTAGTATTGTTCACGGGTTACATTTCGAGAGGGATTTTGTCATTTCTTTTGGGTCTATATTTATTGGTGTTTTTTTTGTACTATAAAGTGCATTTAGGCATGGTTAATTGCTTGCGATTATTTTGTTTATGGTATAGTGTCTTTAGACATAGACAATTACTAGTTTATATGTATGGTAATGCGATCATGAAATCTATGCACTGAGGCCTTTGGTGAGTACTTTTTAAATGTAAAAGCCTACCAAATAGGGGTACTAATGGAAAGGAAATTTTGGTGCACTAATTGTAATCCCAATCCATCAGAAATGAATATTTAATTTTGCACTCAACTTATATTTTTAAAAATAAGAAAAATTAACCCTTATCAAATCTTGCCAAATGGGTCAATCAATGACCCAAGTCAGTTTATACCAACCCTTTGCACCCCATCAACGTTCATGATGGTTCATTTCTCTGTCAGCAAACCATAGATTCATACCAGCAAAATGTGCTCTCATCGTACAATTGCTTATTTCTATGCTTTCTACTATGTCTCAAATACTAGAATCATTGACCTATTTGCATAGCTCATCAATCCAACGAAAGGAAAATCCCAATTCATTCACACATCTAGATCAGAATAAAGAAGAGAATTATTAGGGAAATCTTTGAACTGGTAAGTTCAAGGAAAAATAGAGAATTATCTCACTAGCATAGATTTATTTCTTAGAACCAATACCATTGAAGTTACTGCTCCTGTCTTCTCAAAATTGAACTTAAGGCAAAATTTCCTTCCTACTAGGAGAATTTTTAGCCTTTTTTCTCTTGTTTTTGAAAAATAAAATTTTGATGGAAAGTTTAAGGGTGCATTTGGTATCTATTGTGATTCTTTTTTTTGTTTTGTTTTTGTTTTTACTTTTCACAAAAATGAAAAACATATGCATGTTTGTTTATCATCTTATTTTTTAGTTGGTGAAAATGTTTGGAAAACAAAGCCAAATTTTGGAAACAAAAAAAACTTTTTTTTTTTTGGTGGAACATGATATCTGTAAGAACTGTATCATACACACAAAATTACATTAAGTCTTGGGTATGAAATACCCATTTGATCAGCTAGCAGCTGTTGTTTCATACAGTCCGAGGGTTCAAAAAAACCAAAATCCCCTCCTTAGTGCCTGTCACTTCTAGCTAGGCTGTCAGCACACTGGTTGGATTCCTGCATCTCCGGCTTTATCCTCACCTCCTAGAACTGTTCCTTTAGTCACCTGCAATCATTCAATAAAAAAGAATGACAATGGTTGGAAATTGATCGGATCAACGATCACCTGAGCATCGAAATTGATTGTCAGCTTGGGTATCTGAAGCATTTCTGCCATTCTAAATCCCTCTCTCAGCGCCCTAAGTTCAGCAACCAAGCTTGTAGATCTTCCAGTGTCCCCCTTGAAACCTGCAATAAAGCTACCTGAGGTGTCCTCTATTAGACCACCCACCCCTGTTGGACCTGGGTTTCCCTGAGCAGATCCATCTGTGTTAGTTTGTTCCACCCTTCTGGTGGAGGTAGCCATTCAGCGTTCGGATCTCAAGGGCCTTGGTGGAGATGGAGTTGTAAAGTGGATTTCTAAGGCTCTTGTGATGTCTGTCTGGGCTACTTTCCTTGGATTACGGTGTTCAGTCTGGAACATAGTTTTGTTCCTATTGAACCAAATGGTGGCACAGGTAACGGGGAATAGGATTCCCATGAGAGGTGGTTGATCAAGGAGTTGGTATTGGATTGACAGTTGGTTTTGACTTTTGAGCCATTCTGCTAATGGTTCAAGGAACGAGGAGGTGAGGCTTGGGGGGATCCTGACTTCGTTCCAGACTATAGTTGCTTGGTCACAATCCTTCAAGACATGAATGGTAGTTTACTCATGGGCTCCACACGGTGTACAGTCCATTTCTGGAATGATACTCCTATGATTTAGCGTCTGGTGGGGTGTCTGTCTTTTCTAGCGAGCCATAAGAAGGTTTGGGTCCTAGGAGTAATTCCCAACTTCCACACCCATTTCCAACTCTCTCTTCTATCATGTCTATACTCCCATCCAAGGCAATTTTATAGGCAGATTTGGAGTTGAAATCACCGTTTGATGAGTATCCCCAAATCCACGCATCAGGTATACTGTTGATAGTCTGGATAGGGGTAGCTTTAATTCAATCCTGGAGCATTTCAGGGATAACAAAAGGTAGGCTACCTAAATTCCAAGTCCCATTCTGAGATAGCAAGTGACCCATTTTCCAGTCCTCTTCACCAGTGTTTAGGGGGCCTTGGATCAGTGCCCTAAGAGGTTTCTGCTCTACCCAAGTAACATACCAGAGGTCTGCTACCTGCCCATTCCTAATTATCCAAACAAATTTTTCCTACCCTTTTTCATGCTCACCCCTATGTATGATCCCGACTTCCTCTTTTCAATACCATTAACATCTAAGTATTTATTTGACAGAATGGTGGCCCAAAGTATGTCAGGATTTTTTAGTAGTCTCCAATTTAATTTAGCCATGGCTGCTTGTCTCCTTGGAACGATTTTGCTAATTCCTAACACCCCCCCTCTTCCTTTGGTTTAGTGACCTCATCCCAATTGACCAAATGGATCTTTTTCTTTTCATCTGTTGAACCCCATAAGAAATTCCTAATAAGCCTTTCTAACTCATCAGTCATCACTCACTCTCTTTGGTTATTTTCCCACCTGATTGTAGCAAAGACAGACGAGATCAAGGTTGGCTTTCCACCCTCCAAGCCTTTGCTTGACCTTGTCTATAATATATTTATAATCTGAGGCCTCTGGCTTTCTATTTGAAATGGGGAAACCTAAGTACGACTCTTGATTTTTGGAAGCTCATTTTTTGACCTGAAATTTTACAAAAGGATACTAATGTGTTCCTAATATTCTGGCAGTTCTCTAGAGACGCTTCCCCACAAAGGGTGAGGTCATCAACGAACGTTACATGAGAGATATTTATAACCCCCCCCCAAAAAAAAAAAAAAAAAGACCACTTGAACAGGTTTCCATATCTTATTTTTAACTGCTTGTTAAATCATGTGCGAAAGAATGTTCATGCAGATGATGAACGGATAGGGTGAAAGGGGTCCCTCTGTTTGACCCCTCTGGTGACTTGGAACCAATGTTTAATGCTTCCATTTTCAACAAAATAGCAAACTGGGTAGATTCTACACAGACCATTATGATATTAATAAATATTTGATGGAAAATTGATTTTCTGGAAGGTATTGTTTAGGAAATTCCAATCAATCCTATTGTATGCCTTCTCGAGGCCTATTTTAATCATCATTGCCCCTTTTTTACCCTTCTTTTTTGACCAGGTATGTAAGAATTCCCGGGTGATTATCACATTATCAATCCTTTGCCTCCCTGGGATGAAATTTGCTTGGCAGGTGTATTCAATTTTTCAGGTGTAATTCTGTTATCCAGGATTTTAGAGAGAATTTTTTAGATTGTGTTCAAGTGATTCAAAGATTGTGGGCTTTGAACTTTGGGGATTAGGCATAGTTACGACCAAAGTGAAACGAAAATAGGAGGACAAGTTGGATTTTCCCTTTCTTTTTTTCCAGGTAAAAGTATGACCTAATCCCAATATGCACGATGGAATCAAATCCTGCTTTAAGTATTGGATCTCCTGTCTCAATTAAGAGTGAGTCATGGAAGTTCAAAATCACGATTAATTTCTTTTTCAAATCTTGTTGCAGTTACACGAGCTCTTCCCGTGTGCCACAAATGACCTATGAAGAAGAAGAATATCTTAGAACAAAATGAGAAGTAGCTAACCAACTTCTAGGAGAGACATAATTGACTTCATTCACCTCAGTAGCTATGCCTCTCACGAAATTTAAATAACCTAAAAGAGCACGAGTTATATATTCTACAGAATGCCATTCTTCATGGATACCAGCACACACATGGTTCCACTGAGACTGGAAAAAGATAGGGTGGAAGCCATCTGGCCCACGTATCAGAGTGTTAAGACAGACCTCTTCTTAGGTCCTAACATTGGCTATTAGTGACTATGTGAGCCTTAAAAAGCAGGAAACCAATGCCAAATGTTATCAACACCCATATCAATATTTCAGTTGAGCAAATTCTATTTCTGAAAATCCGAAGCATTCCTTCAAGTGATATAACCATATGTATGACTCTTATGATAGAGTACAAACTGCCCTTACAACTGCTTCTGCTTCTGCTTCTGCTTTAGCTCTTTTGGATTAGCAAACTACCATTCATTAGGTGCTAGACCTACTGTCCACAGACCCCTACACACCAAAACAAATATCAACACAAAAGATCTTCATTCTTGGTAACTTATAAACTTAAACATCATATCTTTTACTAATATTAGGAAACAGCAAAGTAGAGTGATTAAACTCGCAACCGGAAATTTCAATCACATTCTCTGGACCATTTAGTTGATTAAACCAAAAGTGAATGGTATTGCTTGCAGCTTGACCTTACACAGTTCCTCATCTGCCAAACACAAAAAGAAAAAACGAACAAAAAGGAAAGTAACCAGACATCGCTAATTGTGACATTTACTAGGGAAGGAAATGCAATGTATTCAAATTAACACGTATAGCATCACCGTAGACAATAACAAGTAATCAAATCTCCAATTTCCCCTTCAAACCATCAAAATTCCACTTCAATAGTACTATTTGAGTACAATGCATAGTCGAAGAGTTGACTCAATAACTCAACCCCAAAAACCCTCCAAAACCCACGCCCCTCCCCTGCCCAAAAAAAAAAAAAAAAACCAGGCGAAAGAGCACACATGCATCTCTTCATGAGAAGGAAAGAGTGAGGGAAAATTAGATCTCTCAACTAACCACCCAATGCCATGACAAAAGACAAAATAAAGTGGGAAAGAACAATAATACCATGAGAAACCTGGAAAACCAGTAAAAATATGAAAATATATGATTGGTCAAGAAATTTGGAGCAAAGAATGTTTGAACATTATTTCTCCACCCTTCATAACTTTGTGTAGGAGTCATTTTTTTCCAATCAATCCCACAGTTGGATTGCACAACCCTCCCTTTTTTTGTTGTGGTTTCTAACTTGAGTCCAATTGGAGGCCATGGGCCCATTAGAATAGTATTATGCACTAGTTCTTGGGTTATCAAAAAAAAAAAAAAAGAAAGAAAGAAAATGAGACAGAAGGTTTCCCCAAGTCATTTTCTCCACAATTAAAACTACTGTCTCTATACACACACAAGTAGGGGGCTAATGTGATGCACGGATTCACATCCTCACCCTGTTCCAGCATCCGCACCCCCTCCCTCCATCGTTTTAGTATTTCTAGCCGTCTTAGAGAAAGAATAGGAGAAGAAGATGACATGTTATAAGACATGAGAGAGTGATAAGTTTGGAGGTAAATGGAAAAGGATCGAAGACATTGCAGACTATTTTCTTACCCTTTACGTAAGCCATACGCCCCAGACATAACAGAAGAAAACACTCCCTCTTTCCAGATACTTCCACACATTTTATAAAGCGTGGCGTCAGTTTAAAGTGAATGACTTGACTGGTGGGTGGGTGAGTGGTGGGTTTGTCCTTTGCAAAATATGTCCAATTGTTCATTGATTTTATCCCGTTCACATTCTTTTTCAAAAGTTTGCTGAGAAAGAATGGATGATGTTGGCACAACCTTGCAAGGTGCCTAATCACATCCACGGCTTTGCAGACACCATGTGCTGTGCGATTTGTCAAGATGTGGAGACAATTCACTATTATAGTGGTCCTTGGATGTTTTGGATTTTTCTTAACAATAATAATCATAACCCCACTAACCAATTTTTTGCTTATACATACTAGAATTCCAGGTTTAATTGTGTATGTCAGAATCAAATTACTGTTTCGCTTTTATTGAAACGTTGGCAATATTTCGGTTTTGAAAAAAATTAAAATGATGAAAAATCAAAATTTTTATGTTTTGGAGTATTTTAAATTATTTTTGAATGTTTGAACTAATATTTCAAAATTAAAACTTCCAATTTTTAATTTTTTTTTGTTTCTTTGATGACATTTTCAAAATGTTTCTGATCCCGAGCTAATCGAAACAACACATTTAAGCAAAATTTTGATCCTTATGTAGATGTAGTGGAATTTTATATATCATACTTTGTACATGGTGTATAGAGTAATGTAAATTGGACCAAATGTACTAATCAAACCGACTACTCTCAAACTAAAGGAAATCATATTTTATAAACATTATTAGGTTTCCTCTTGTACCCATTAACCTCACTAATTTATTTTTTTTTAAATTATTGAATTGAAACAAACTCGGCCATTAATAACCCCAAAGAACATCCTTTGGAAAACAAATTTTATGAATAGTGGTGAATCATCAATAATAAGTAAGTCATTAAAGAAAAAAGAAAAAATAGTAGAGTTGCTAACTTTACTAGAAAAATTATTCATCAACTTAGAAAATAATTTTAAATAAAAACAATTAAATATTGATGGTGCAGACTAATGTGGGTGAATAGAGTGCGTGGAACCAACGGTGAAGTTAG